CGAAAAGAACCAAAAGGGAACATAAATAACCTACCCTCATAGGTGAAAAAGGAAAAAGAAACAGAAAGGAATCTTACGTTAATGATTTCCCGTTGAAGAAAATAGGGGGTGCGATTGCAGCAACTATGCAAAAACCAAGATGGAGCTGCATGGTGCAGTTGAGTTGAAGGAGTCAAAACCAATCGGCTATAGTCATTATGGAATAATAATATAATGGCAACAAAACGAGACTCACCAAGTAGAACAAGAAAAACCAGCCGAATTTCAGTGCACTATCAGTCCTGAAAATCAGAATTACGAAAAATTTGCCTTTTAACTCCAAGAGCCGAGAAATCCCCAAGGAAAGATTATTAAGGGACTTCACGTACCTCATTGCACGGTATAAAGGCCGGTACCAAAGCACATACGAGAGCGGCCATCCAAGTAGGGCGTATATTACTGCAAGGAGGAAGATCTTGACCCCTACATATAGTACATCAAGTTTTTAGCTCAATATTCAAAGCCGACGACTATATGGTGACGTGCACCAAAAATTTGAAAAGAAAAGCATAAAATTAAAGAATCAGGCTTACCATCAACCATTATCCAGCAAACAGTGATGGCAATGATATTGAAAAAGAGGCAAAAGACGATGCCTGCACCCAAAATTATTAGAAGGTACCGGTGAATCCCTCAAGCGAAAAATAAAACGCCAGAAACAGTATGACAACTTTGATAAGTCGCATGAATTGGGGGAAAAAGCAAGACAAAATTTAGGTTCCAGCTCAACTTGCTATTGAACATTCAATTTGTTACTTATCACATTGTACTCCAAATGAAGCCTTCTATAAGAAAGTTCAACGAAGCATGCAGTAAGAGGGTGTGAGAAGAATCTGGAACAGTAAGCTTCTCTGTTTCAAAAGTTAAACAGCCTCCAATTACCCTTCACATTTCCTTAAGCAATCACCGCAAGTAAAATCCTAATCGAAAGACAGGAGAAGGCTAAAATACACCTGTATCTTCTGAACATACACAATTTTTTTTGGTAATACTATACTGAGCTACCTCTGTAAGCACACATCAATAGTAAAAGTAAATAGTGCTGATAAGCACTGGAACTTTCGATCTTAACGGCTTATACGTTTGTGCTATAGAAGAAACATACCTCAAATATAAGGGCAAACAAACTGAAAATAACTAATGGAGTTGATCTCTACCATGTAACCAAACTGATGTTAAATTATTACAGAATTCAATCAGAAACTTTTTGGGATGTATCAAACGTAAGAGTAAACTGGGGAGAACAGAACACACACCTAACCAACTTGCAAAAGCCAGATACTGCAACTTCTGAGCATGGATTGGAATTTCGTTGGCTATATCATGGTGAATAATGGGACAAAATGGGGGCCAGTTTTTATCATCCACAATAACACCAGCTGAAAAAAAAAAGTTGGCAGAAAATATTAGGAACAAGGGAGACACTGCAACTAATTCTATAAATGCTATATCTAGACTCAAAGCTTACCTCCAGCAACAGCCTCTTCCCTACGTTTGATCTCCTGAAACCAACAAAAACAGATTAAACTTACATTGGCATAAGAAATGCATGAGACAGATAAGATGAAAGTTAATCCACTGAACAGCTCGACACAATATTTTTTCTGAATAACCATCGGAAAGCATACCTTGCATTTTCAAATTTCAAGAATATTTCCATTTCCTTAAGCAGGCAGTTCATAGCAATTTACAAATACTTATCACACTGAATACCAAGTCACCACTCTACACTATCAAACTGATGAATTAACCCTCTTAACATAGGATAAACACAATGCAGAGGGAAAGAATACAAAGATCAGTACAGTCAAATCAGAAATATACAGCATTTGTAGAGAATTCATGTGTTTAGCCATTAAACAAGTAAAAGCTGAAGGGGAACACCCACCCTTTCTCTCCTGTTCAAATCTGATTCCCAAGCAGCAAGTTCTTTATCCTTCTTCCTCGAGTCCTGAATAAAATATACGAGTCCTTGAGTATTAGAATTTAGATGGAATAGCTGAGGTTCTCAGGTATACTATTCGTATGCATTATTACATTCACTGTATCTAACGGTATATCAATAACGGCATCATATTTCTGGCCAAAACCCAGTGTATCAGCAACCACATAAGGAGGGTGTGACCCGACCTGGCAGCCCCAACCACCATTGTGCACGAATGCAGTATAAAAAATACTCTTCCCGCATCAACCAGATCGAACATATTTATTTTAAATTTTGACACATGTATCCAAAGTTCAAATATACTGATAGTCATCATAACAGTGTAGCACATGTTGGCTCTGAAAATGCCAGTAATCATGCTTCTCAGTTATCTTATGGATTACATCTTCAGCTATACTTATGAAACCTAATTTTTCACTGAGCATCGTCCAAATCAATTTCCTAGTCGATAAAAGGATTGTATCAACAGAGAACTAAGAACCCCAACCGTTTCGAAACCAAAATAGTAACTAAATTCGTCATCCCACATTCAGCACTGATCACATCATTACCTGCTGATCAACCTTAAAACACGCATTGTTTTATAAATGATATTCAAGCTACCATGAGATAAGAACTACGATTAACACTCATTCTATAGTCAGTTAATTCCAGATAACATTACCACTGACATTGTCTCAAATCCCATTTTCCTTGAACCAGAGACCCCAAAAAAAAACACATACTAAAAAAATCATTTCACCTCACAATCAAAATCAACCAAGCCTCAATCCTCGGATCTATACCAAGCAAAGGCAGATTAGATATGATCCAACAGAAAGAAAACAGACGAGATCTCGAACAATACGGAGATGTAAATCCAGGCA